CCCCCCCCCCCCCCCCCCCCCAAAAAAAAGTTTTCTAATGGTCCGTCCCTCACGTCTCAAGACGCAGATAAAAGTTACGTACAAGAAAATAACTACTGAACGTTTGGGCGAAAAATCCACAATTTTATTATGCACACACTATTCTTTGCAGATTAAATTTGCCCTTTTAGTCCTGGAAAGTTAGCCTGTCACGATCAAGAGACCATCCTAAATAAGGAAAGACCATAAACTGGACATAAGAAAGAAAGATGGATGGAAAAAGGTAACGGGAAGGAAAGATCAAATGGATTGCGCCTAAAGTAAAATTAAAAAAAAAAACAACAACAACGGAGACGTGGTCTTTGTCGGGGATTTGGAGCAGGGTTTTGTTATCATTAAGGTATTTCGGTATACCACCAATCTCTCGTTTATAGTACGGTGAGTCAGTCCCTAAACCTTAATTAAGGCGCGAAGGTTTGGCTCTTTTCTAGGGAAAGGCAATCAAGTCTAGACTCTCGTTTTTTTTTGTTTTTTGTTTTTTTTTTTTGTTAGAGGTGATAGTGCGTTGTAATTCCAAGGCTAAGCATTCGGTAACCATGGTAGCACGTTTTCTGCATCTCAACAACCTTTCTTGAAAGAGACTGGCGGCCATTTGCATTGTCGAACGATGAAAGAAAGGTATGGGCTACAGTTTTGTTACTGAATGCAATCATGCACTGGAAAGTCATACATGTCAACTTCTTTTGTTTTTCCTGCCATATTTCCAGGACTACGGGGTTTTTTTTGCTTCCATGGCAACGTGACGAAACGACTTCTCCTCTTTATATTTTAGAGAGTAAGTTTAAAAAAGTTTCGCGTGAAAGCCAAACGGCAAAAGGCAGAGATGGCCACGTGCCTTTTTTTTGCCCCCATTTTTATCACGCTTTTCGTTTGTTGCTGTCCGTTTTTGGAGGAAGGTCCCCGCATACTTTTTTCGTGAAGCGTGATTGGAGTATGTTTTTCTGGTGAAACGTGATTTTTTTTTTATTGTGATTCTTGATTGGCCATTCCACAGACAACTCACTCTAAAAAAGAGAAAAACGAAATGAAGAAAACTGATGAAAGGTAGATTGTGGTATAAAAAATAAAAAAAAGTGGATAAAGTTGTATACAAGTTTTCAAATACTGAAGCATCATTAACACCCCCGTAAGCAAAAAAGGAAAAAAATGACAGCTATAATTAACACTAAGTTGTAAGTGCTTAAATATTACGGATGAACAACAACGATATTCTAATCAATTCAGAAAATGCCCTATTTATGATTTTCAAATAAGCTCATGTAATGGTCGTGTAAAAAAAATGCGAATTCTAAGAGCAATGAACACACAAAAACAGAAAATAAAACAGTTTCAAGCGTTTTAAGGCATAACAGAAGCAACAGCGACTTTTCTGATCAATTACAAATGGAGGCGCCCTGGGGACGAGGTTGCTCAGAAATACATGCAGAAATTAGGGGTAACGGGACCTCGCTAACCTGGCCTCGTAAATAGCAACTTCAAATAAACTGGGCCAAGAAAATGCTTTGTTTTTCATTTCAGTGCATGAGAAAGATACTCAATTTAATGACGGTCATTTTTGACTCAATAATGTGAAATTCACCTTGCCTCTCTTAAAGGGGGAAAGCGGTGAGATTTTAAAAAGATATCTACAAATGCTATCGATTGGTGCATCCCAGTCACTAACTAAAACGTGCTGTCTCACTTCAATTTTAATTGAAGGTATTGTTTGTCATCTTAATTGTGCTTAATTGTAACTTATGCAAAATAGCAGCTTGGAACATTCTCAGCTAATTTGAGACC